GAGCTGATACGAAGCAACCGTTGTTTCGCGAGAAACGGATCTCACGAAAGACCCTCCCGGCTTAGAGGCCAATTTGTCTCCGCTGCGCCCGAGTTATCGAACCCTACATGAAACGTCACGGACGCTTTGCATATCTCTTCAGCCTGAATCATAAATTTTTCATTAATTCACTTTATCTGTAATGCACTTTGTTACTCCATTAATTTCTCCCCTATCTGTACTCCCCTCTTCTCTACTTCTCTAAATTGTCTGAACCTAACAGAGCATGGCGCTGAACCGGAGAAACTAGAGATTGAGCAGGTTGGTTGTCGCCTGTAGAGAACATCTTTGAATGGATTAAGCCAGAGGTAATACCAGAGAAACTTTTACTCCGAGTATTTTGTGAGATGATGTTTAATTAACACATTTACCTTTTTATCAAGCAATAATTAAATCGTCTATAAAAATGAAGTATTAGTGTGAATATTAAGGAGATTCAAAGAATATATTTAATACGTTTTACCGTAATTAAAAACTGAAAGTTATGTGATTTTTCATACATTTTCAATCGTGATAAATAAGGAGTTGTCTCTGGCGCTGATATATGGTGTGAATATCCCATATAAGGGCGAAACGAGTCGACGACATGCATTGCGTATAACGTGTTTTGTAATTCCTAATTGTCAGTCAGCCAGAAGATTTGAACCAGTGCGAACGAGCCGTAGTAACGTCGTGAATCTTCGATCTAAATGTTCATATTTTACGAAAAGCACTAGGTGTAACCCTTCAAAAGACAAATGAGAAGTGTTATCTACATCAGAACATCTCATGTCTCTTTGTGCCACACCAAGTTGCCGCCATGACTCACCACTCCCTTCTGTCAGTGTAACATCCCAAGTGACTGGTACGACGTTAGAAGAAATATTACTCTCTTGAAGAAATTCGAAATATTGCCAGCACGTTTCTTACTCGCTTTGACAGATTCCAACGAATGTTGCAATTTAAACCAATCGGAGTACAAATCGGATTCTGAAAAGCCAGATAATTAATCTGAAGCTATGCCATTCAATTGCCTCGCCCAAGAGAGCTTGTACTACCGCTTTTCCGAACGATCTATTTTTAGTCTATCAAGTCACTTGTCGCTGGGTGGTAGAATAAATCAAGTGGAGGAATTTCAAGGGCGGTAATTTCCTGGCGAGAGCGCCCATAAGGTCAAACGGAATTGAGCAACAGGTGAGGTCACTTTCAGATAAAGCTCATGTTGGCTGCGAAGGTGGAGTCAGGACACGTGGGAGAGGACATCGTAGTCATCTGTCTGAGGAAGGCCTGCCAAAGAAAAAAAATCTTCCAACGTCTCTCAGGGAAAGAGAAAAAATCGACACAACAAAAAAATCGCTTTGAAAACAACGAATAAAATGGTTCACAGAACTGAAAAATGGGAGAAGCGAAGAGAAAAGTAAACAGACGAAGGAAAAATGTGTGTGGTAATTTGATTGAAAGAAAACTGTTGCGAAAAGAAAAGAGGTAGCAGGTAAAACATAAGAATACATGAGAAAAGGATATGAGCATTAAAGTTCTGTGAAATGAATTGGAGAATGATGCCAGTGTTCTTCCTTATGCATTGTCACCGCAAAATAAACGGATCCGTGATGAAACTATTATCCAGCAAAATGACATTTAATAGAATTTGTTATTAGTCTTGTGTACCGTTGAGACGAACAAGCAAAGAAAAAAAGCACTTGAAATCCCAGATACCGAAAACATGTAAATAGAGAGAATGCTAAAATTCGTATACTCGATTCTTAATAAAACCTGGTTCGTAAAGTATAGAAAAATACCGGTCAAGGAGAAAGCAGAAATCGCGACCAGCTCACCAATGGCAATGCGAGCAGGGGCTGCGAGTTTACGTGAGGCGGGGCCGCCACGTCGCGTCGGCCGGTCCGGCTGGCTGGCAAGCGAGCGGGCGGGACGGTGGGCGAGGACGAGATGGCGGGAGCCGGAGCGAGCAGGGGGAGGCCGAACGAGCGGGGCGAGAGGACCTGGAGGGCGAACGAGCTATGGGGGTGGGGGGAGAGCGGTGCAGCCGATGGGAGGGTGAGATGGTGAGAGAACTGGCAAGGGGCGGGCGGGAGCGAGGACGGCCAAGGTAACAGGCAGGCGGTAAGAGAGAGTGAGGCGAGAGTGAGGGCGAGAGTGAGGCGAGAGTGAGGGCGAGAGTGAGGGCAGAGTGACGGGCGAGAGTGAGGGCGAAAGTGAGGGCGAGAGTGAGGGCTGGAGGTGGATAGTGGTAGGCGTGAGTGAGGGCGAGAGTTCGAGAGGAGGACGAGAGTATCTTTGAGCGGGAGAGTGCAGGGCGAGAGGAACATATTGAGGGCGGAGAGGGAGGCGGAGAGGAGGCGCAGAGGGAGGGAGAGAGGGTAGGAGCAAGAGGAGGGGTGAGAGGGAGGGCGTGAGGGAGGCAAGCGGGGGGTGAGAGGGTGGGCGGGCAATGAGGTAGTTGGTGATGGCGGCGGCGGGTGACGTGTCCGGTGGCGGGTGGGAAGCGCGCCTGGTCCGCCCATGGTAAATAGGGCATAAACGTCGCGCGGCCAGATTCAGTGTAGAGCCCAGGGCGAGTGGCCCGCACTGCCCGCGCCGTCCCGCCCAACCCCTGCACAGGGCAACTCCGCTTCCCTCTGCACCAACGGACGCGAAACGAACGCTCGCACTTCATTGGTTGGGGTTGAAACCGAACTGCGATGTTATTTTCCAATAGATATAAGGTGAATTGGAAGTGATGTAATATCAATCTGCCGAATTTGCCATGAAAACTTTTTGCCGATAACTAGTTTAACAAATGAAGTCCCACTTCTGTTGGCAAGTCTCGAATTTTTGTGAGTGCGGATACAACGGCAGGTACATCTAGGTTTATTTCTCTGTTGATGACAACCAGAATAGTGACTGTTTTCTGAAGAACATTGAGTCGTCTTTCTTCAATAGGTTTCCGGGATTTTTTCTAGTCATGTGGAAGTAGGAATGTGCTGTGATTCTTAAGACGAAGTGTTATTCACTATGTCACATTAGACAATGCGGACATTTTAGTGTATTCCGAGAATGTTTATCAATCAATATTTATGTCTCCAACGTTAACTATGCAAATAAATGTTAATACGTAAAGACTATGACGATACACCAAATTGTGATAATATCTGATTACAAGTTTACCAAAGTATCAGAATTTTTGTACGTCCAAGTAACCCTTTTAAATGTCCTCATGCATTCTCTTTCGGTGGCAGTTTATACCCTCCCAAACGTGGAGAGCAGCTGCTCTGGTTCGTAGCTGCAGCGGGAAACCTAGCACGCGTTCGGATCATCTGCCGGCCGCCCCGCGCCTGCTACGCCCTGTCGCTGGGACGTGTTCATTTCCTCGGGCCGGATGACGCCCTGGCCCACGCCCCACGCCCCACGCGCCGGCTGCGCCGTGCGTCGCGTCGCGTCGCGTCGCCCTGATTCCGCCCGCTTTACGGCTCTCCGTCGGAGAGGCCGCCGACAATGAAGGCTAAGAACATCCGCCTCGCCGATCGCCCTCGATTTATTGTCGCTTCTGTCTGAGACTCTACCGTCTGGGGGAGGAGCTACGTTACTGTGATTCAACATTGTTGTCCCACTAATCTTGATACATGTAGTTGTAATGATGGATAAACATTACATGATGGATAAACATATTTGTAAATATTACCAAAAATGTCCATAGAAACGATAATTAATCTACAGCATGTATACACACACTGTGTTTGATTTGTAAAACTTTAGGTCCCGAAACGCGTTTCAAATTAATTATTAATGTAATAGTAATACTCACCTCGCCGATTGCCCTCGATTTATTGTCGCTTCTGTCTGAGACACTACCGTCTGGGGGAGGAGCTACGTTGCTGTCATTCAACATTGTTGTCCTCCTAGTCTTGATAAATGTAGTTGTAATGATGGATAAACATTTACATATTTGTAAATATTACCGAAAATTTTCGTATAAACGATATTTAATGTAGAGCATGTATATACATCACACTCAGTGTTTGGTTTGTAAAACGTTAGGTCCCGAAACGCGCTTCAAATTGATTATTACGTTACTAGAAATACTAATGTACTTATAATATAATTTAATAGTTATTAGCGAGGTACTGGATTGGCGTCCCGATGCGTTCTACCAGAACTCAAGCTCTGTATATTATACTCTCTTCCTGAAGGCCCGAATTTCGTTGCAAACGCATATTTTTCTCCCGTTAGTCAGAAAGTATGATCACTTGACACGTGTGTGAAAAAATTCATTTACACGTGATTTAATTATGCATATCTTGCAGAGTTTTCTGGAGTCTTAATAATCATCATATTTCTACAGATTTTCAATTATCACTTCCATTAATTTCACAGAGATCGTCATCTGCAGTCACGATTCTAGGCAAATACTGAACATAAAGTATCCTTGTTGGAGGAACCGGAACTACAAAAGCTAGCATTCTCAAAAATACGCTTTGGAAAGCCGGACTACCATGAGGAATATAACGACGATGTTGACTACAAGAACGATACTAAATTTAGAGCTTTTCTAGAAAAATATCAATTTTAATAACTTTATTAGACAAAGCATTTATTTAATACATTTTTATAGACAATATGTTTGACTCAGTGGAAGTTTTGAACTGAAAGAATTCTAAAGAAACCGATTATAATTCTCTAATTACTTTATTAATTTTCTTTATCAATCTACATTAATAATTGAGTTGTTTGGAATTAGACAAAAGTAGATTAGGCAATTAACACGCAAAATGCAGATATTTACCTTCCTCATTTCTGCTTGAGTTTGTTAAGCCACTAGACGTTTTGTGTAATACACTCCAATAAAAAATGCGATATGCTTTAATATAACAAATTTCATTTTTATATAGATAACCTGATTTACATAATTCTTTCAATTCGCCTATCCTTTAAAAGCCACATTAGATGGCTTACCATTATCTAACCAGAAGCGCTTCAATTCTCACCTGTCTCACAGAGCAACATAACCCTGCGGCACCCCACATTCTTTCAGTAGGCCACACGTCCAGCAACTTTACCCCCCCCCCACACGAGGTCACCGCGCCCGCTCCCTCGCAGCAGTATCACGCGGCGTCGCCGTCGCCGTCATCATCGGGCGAGCGGGCGAGCGACACGCGCGCGCGAGCACGCACCGTCACGCACGCGCACGCGTCGGCACGCGGGCGCACGGCGCTCGCATGCGAATGGGCGACGGCGGCCGTCGTTCGGCTGACAGCGCGCGATAAAGCAATTACGCCCTCTGGAAAGCCAGCGGCCGGTGGCAGCGCGCCTTTGCAACTCGCCTGCCACGTTGGTCGCCTCGGTGCCTGAGGAACGGCCGTTCGAGACTAATGTGACGTAGGTGGGGATGGATGAATCCACAGATCACACTTGACACCTCCCAATAATGTTTTATAAAATTTTGAATTAGATCATTAATATTTCTATTTTTTTAATCGCAAAATTTATGGATTATTTTCACTTTTAAAATATAAATTTTATATGCATGTTGTTACACTCTGACTGGGGTTCTTGGTACCTTTATTCTCCTTAAATTACTATTTCAAATTGCATAATTATGTGCATTTCTTGTTGAGCTCTCCTTTTGCTAGTTGTGGTAGGAGTAGAGCTGGAGGCGTGCTACTATCTTGTTAGCAATAAAAAAATCAAATCCGCAGTTCGTTTACGGATGCAAGTAAGTTTTCTATAACTCAAGAGCAAAAATGTCAAGTTTTTTGACGGTTGCTAATCTCTCACTTTTGTGTTTTATGAATTTATTATTTTCGTTTATTTACTTAAATTCCATTCAACTTTCCACTATTTATATTTAAAATGTCGGGAAGAGATTCTGGAGTTCATGAGAGCAGGCGCTATTGGTACTTTTCCATTCGTCAAATACAGTTGTTGATTGTTTTTTGACTAAATAAATCAAATCAAGTGTAATATTATTCCTTTCTGTAATAACACGCATGTGTTGCTAAATTCTACTGAAGCAATATTCAATCATTAAACCATTTTTTGGAAAGGAATGCTCTCGTTCACGCTAGTAACTTTCACTATGACAAATATTTTAAAAGTAGAACTTGCATATCATGATTTGAAACAAATTCCACACTTGCAACAGTAAACATTAACAACAAACGTTTTTACGAATAATATATTTTCTACGATTATAGTTATACACACAATTTAAATTTTCGAATTATTCGGAGTCTTTCTTATCTTCAATCGTTTTAAAAATGTCTTTCTATTTGCAAATACTTTATTTTATATGGAAAGACTCGACTTCAGATAAATTACAGGCAAATATAAGTTTAATTTTAAGTAAATTTTCAGCAAACTGGCAGTTCTTAATTACTATCATTATTCTTTGATTGTCATAGCTTAGATAAATCATTATATAGAAAAAATTCCTAAGATATTATTGTTGCAATTAGTACTTACAATTCGAAATAAGCTTTAGATGGAGTATCCTGACGACACTTCCTCTAGCTCCAACGGATTGTAGAGAACTGATGGTTAGTCTCCACATCGACTGAACCGTCCCCAAACATCTCTCAGCCTTATCTGCAGCCATATCTCCCATGCGCAATCGTATATGCTCTCTCCATCAGCCCCATAATGACCTTACTCTTGCCGATACACCGCCGCAGAGCTTCGGGTGTCGCTTTTCTGGGATACTTCGATGGTTGCCTGGGAAACGATTAGGGAGAAAATGCCCTGATAATAGGCACCACTTGCCACTTCACAAAAGCTGGGTAATGAGTGGCCTCACGACACGTCACTCCGTGTCACGTTGCGTATGCTATTAATGCTGATGAAACTAGAGTTGCGCAATACTGCAAACTCTTGATAAACAGGTGTTCCAAAGAGAGTCTACAAATTCCATGATCTGTTCAAAATTAGAGGTCATGTCAAATTATTATAAGAACAGATTTCTTAGTATGCTCGAGTTAAGAGGCAAATACACCAATATTTTAAAATGAAAATACGTTGGCTTTAGGTGAAGAATACGTAAGAAATATATAAATGAAATGGGTGTTCTACATTTCCTACCTTTTTATGTTGACAAGTATGTCCTTTAAATAACTTGCTTATTTACCTTCTGAATTCAATAGTCCTACTTATTGAATCGACTCTGATCGACCATGAAATGGTAATGGTGTGGAGAAACACAGTGAAGTAAATGTGAACCACACCTTCCTATGAACCAAAAATATATCTTCCTTTCACATCTTTATTTCATGAGTTCTCTTAAGCTGGTCGGCAATATTTTCAAATATTAAATAGTGTGCTACGACAAGAAAGAAATATTTCCTTTCAGAAATACTTGAAAAAGTCCACTAAATATTGTAAGTAATGATTTCGTTTGACTTTTGTGAACACCATTGCCTTTTGTGTCCGAAACGAACTTTTTTGATCTTCTTTTTCTTCTTCTTCTTCTTCTTCTTCTTCTTCTTCTTATTATTATTATTATTATTATTATTATGATTAATAATATTTTTTTTCAAGAAAATACGAGTCAATTCCAAATAAGTATGTTCGAGACAAATCGCGAGAATGTTACAAAACTTTTCGTACTTTTTAAAAGGAGTAATACCGTTAGTATTTCTTCTGCTGGGTTTGCAATTTAGATTTTCAACAGTTCACTTAATCTGATTGACAATAAAATAAGTACAACTTTAAAAGAAAATAAATAATCTCAATAAAACAATAAATGGTTTGAAACCATTTTTGTGAACTCTTGTCACATATATGTAAAGGTATAACTAAATGTGAGTACTTTTAACAAATATTTTATGTTTTTGAAATCAATTCGTTTCGAAAATATAAAGAGAAAATTTAATAATAACGTTGCTGTTGTAAGTCTCCAGCAACAAGAATTCAAAATACAATTTATAAAACTTCACAGAACAGGAAACGCAAGTTTCAATCTGCTATTTTCATTTCTTAATGTTAAGTAAATGTTGAAATTCATCAAGTAATCATAATAAATTCAAAAGAAATTTTCACACTCTCAATATATCAAGTTGTTATTCAAGTTGTATTTTGACAAAGTTCCTAAAGCATGGTTTATTTCGTATTCTCTCAGTTATTTTTTAAATTTAGCACCAAAATTAATTCGAATGTCACTTTAAAAATTATCAGAATTAAATTGTTAATTACATGCAAGCAAAATTGTACAAAATATGTAGCTACAATACTTTTATGAATGTTATATTTATCTCTATAAAAAAATTCGTTTTCTTTCATTCAAACATAAAAGTGTCATCCGGTGAAGAATTGTGATGACCTCGTGACAGTGTATTATTAAGATAGTATTGAATGCTTGGACGGGTGAACACTCCTAAGTCTGATAAAAAGGCTACACACTGAATACGTTTAAAGTTCGGATTACGTGAAGGGTACAAATTCCGACATGGAAATGCGTCTCCGCTTACGCCTCTCGAGCGCTTTTTGCCGAAAGCGGCGCTGGGCGAAGGGGCGTCGCCCGGAGTGCGCCGAGCGTCGAACCAGCGCCGCGCTGCGTCACCGGCCGGAATAGCCGCCGAGGGCCGCCGCCGCCCACGGGAGCGGAGCAGGCGAAGAGCCCGGCGAAGACGGCAATTGTGGAGGCAGTGGCCATGGCACATCAGGCGGCGCGGCGGCCGAAGCGCTGCTGCAGGGAAATGAGTCGGCGGTGGAGCGGACTGGCGAGGAGCGGGCGAAAGTGGAGGCGGAGGTGAATGTGGAGGCGGAGACGACTGTGGAGGTGGAGCCGACAGTGGAAGCGGACGCGACTGTGGAGGCGACGGCGACTGGGGAGGGGGTGCAAGTGGGAGCTGAGATGACTGTGGAGTCGGAGGTGATTGGAAGCGGAGGCGACTGTGGAGGCGAAGGCGACTGTGGAGGCGAAGGCGACTGTGGCTGTGGAAGAGAGGGGCGAAAGTGGAGGCGGAGGCGACTGCGGAGGGGAAGACGACTGTGGAGGGAGTGGTGACTGCGGAGGCGACTGAAACGGCGGAGGCTCGAGGCTACTGTGGAGTTGGAAGGACTGTGGAGACGGAAGTGCTGTAGAAGAGGGGAGAACGACTGGGGAGCGTCAGTGGAGGTGCAGGGAAAGGGGCGGTCGCAGGTGACCTGTGAAGCAGAGGCGACTTTCGAGGAAGGGGTGAAAGAGGATGTCTTAGAGGTAGAGGGAGAGGGCGGGAGAGAAGAGAGGGAGAGGGAAGAGAGAGGGAGAGAGAGGGAGAGAGAGGGAGATGAGAGGGAGAGAGAGGGAGAGAGAGGGAGAAGAGAGGGAGAGAAAGAGGGAGAGAGAGGGGAGAGAGGGAAGGGAAGAAGAGGGAGAGAAGAGGGAGAGAGAGAGGGAGAAGAGAGAGGGAGAGAGAGAGGGAGAGAGAGAGGGAGAGAGAGGGAGAGGCGAGGGAGAGAGAGGGAAGAGAGAGAGGGGAGAGAGAGAGGGAAGAGAGAGAGGTTGAGAAGAGAGGGAGAGAGAGGGAGGAGAAGAGAGGAAGAGGGAGAGGGAGAGGGAATAGGGAGGAGGGGAGAGGGAAGAGGAGGAGAGGGAGAAGTGAGAGGGAGACGAGAGAGGGAGAGGAAGAGGGAGAAGAGAGGGAGATGAAGGGAGAAGAGAGAGGGAGAGGAGAAGAGGGAGAAGAAGAGTGGGAGAAGAGGGAGAGAAGGATGGGAGACGGAGGGGATGGAGAGAGGGAGAGAGAGAGGGAGAGGAGAGGGAAGGAGAGAGGGAGGAGAGAGAGGGAGAGAGAGAGGGAGAGAGAGGGGGAGAGAGAGGGAGAGAGAGAGGGAGAGGAGAAGAGGGAGAAGAGAAGGAGAGAGAGAGGGAGAGAGAGAGGGAGAGAGAGAGGGAGAGAGAGAGGGGAGGAGGGAGAGAGAGAGGGAGAGAGGGGGAGAGGGATGGGGGAGAGTAGAAGGGGGTGTGGGAGGGAGGGGGGAGGGAGAGGGGGTGGAGGGAGAGGGGGAGGGAAGAGGGAGGGAGAGAGGGGAGAGAGAGAGGGAGAGAGAG